CACGGGGTGCTCTGTGGCTAACATCCAGAGCTCAGTTCACTCACCATTCTGGAAAGGGAAGGGAAGAGAATGGAAGGTAGAAAGGTAGGGTAGGGGTACCCCATCAATTACATGGGAAATTGCGCTCGCATTATTTATGTGCGTATACACCGACAGAGGCTGCACTAGGCCACGCTACGTTATGCCACGCCACAGTTCTCTACAGCGGTTATCGATGGCCCGACAAAGAGAACATAAATAACGCCTTTTGCACCAATACGAGCCCGCGATTCTAAGTATACAGGTCACTAGACGCGTATCACGCGATTTTAATACGAGGATAAAAACACAGACGATTTGGGGTCGCATTAAATTGGTACATATGAAATACGGTAGCTTTAGAACGGATTTAATTTTACAGTATAGCTATCAATTTATTGTCCTGCTCCGTATTAAGAAAAAAAGGCTTTTTTAGAATACATGTGATTAGTAAAAAGTTATTTATTAAAATACACCTTTAGAATTATAATACAAACAATTAAGAAGCTTGGATGATTTTTTTTACGAATTCCATCAATCTAATGACATTAACACGTTCAATTCCAGAGTATCAGTTGAACGTGTTACTGTCCATTTGGAGTGGATAATTACTACATTTGAAAATGTTGCAGACCCTTTGTTTAGATTATCTATTAGCTAAAACATATTTAATAAAAGTGTTTAACTCAAAATTCATAGAAAGATTCAGATGTAAATTTGTGTATGCACCAATAGATAGAAAGAAATTTAAATTGTGCAAAGAAGAATGATATGGTGGAATCTAACACGTCAGATGATAAAGAAAGAGGCGTGTAGTGAGGAAGAAAGATGGATATACGAAGCTGCCGAACGAGGTGACAGCTGTCGATTTCGTACAGCCCTTACACAGAATGCGCAAGCGGAGTTGCAACAGACTAGCCATAAATAACGTGCTCGTTTCTGGAGCATAAAAGCGAAAAAAAGAATCGGAACAGAAGAGAGAAAAGATAGTGGGAATCAGTCATTTTTTCCTTTTCTTTTTTTAAATCTTAAACTTTATTTTCACTTTTTGACGTTTACTAATGCTGCACACTAAGAGTAATGGTATAGATCAGTTTACATACTTACTAATTCAGTAAAATGGCACTAGAACGAAATGAGGGACCCAGAAGACCATGTATCTAAAAAAGGGTTAATTATGATCTTCAAAACATTATAAACTTTTATTAAACAATCATTTTATATTTTTAACTTTCATTCGAATAACAAGCACCTATTATAGTTGACCTTCCTCTGCAACCAGATCGATATTTCTGAATGATAGATTTCTTTCATACGTGTAAAATGTCTGAAAATAGAGTTTAACAAGCAACGAATAGCGGTGAGCAGGGAGCAATCCTGCGGGACGAGTCGTGCTCATCGACGACGTGGCGGGATTAGTTGATTAGCTGTACGTTATACTAATCGTGTTTACGCTTCAGCTGATCGATGTGCGGTGAGCGGAGGGTGATTATCTACTCTCGACTAGTTTCCTGCGGAGACATGTGAGAAGTCACCACCACGAGCAACGACGGGAATCTATTCTTAGAGATAACTTTGGGTAGCATCTCTTAACGACTGAATACACGGGCACGTTACTTCCTGATTTTTATAGATTTCCTGTCGTTTAAAATTTACGCTGTCGATGTAAAGTGTCAAATCACTGAATGAACTACAATAAATAACTCAATCTTATTTAATCTTCAATCCTCAAGAATTTAATTTTCTAAAAGTGCAGACAGTTTCAATTAATTTAAGCCACTTTATTTTTGAAAACCAACCACCTTTGTACATGTATGAACAATAAAAAAAGTACAGACAGATTATTTAAAAGGTACTAGATTCTTATAGCATAAAGGTTATAGGATAAATTTACCACGGATACGTTTTAAATGCATACGTAACACTGGCTCGAATGCAAATTGTAGCGATTAATGAATTTGACTGAAATAGATTGAAGTGGTAATTGCACTGGTATATGTATGTTCGCCGACGTGGATGGGTTCGTACTACATATGTCGAAACGCATATCAATTGTTTCATGGAAATTCCAGTGTTACACTTCCCTTCATTACTATTCACAGAATTATATGATTGCCCACATATATACGTGCAATGCAGACAAATTGATTTACATAATCCGTATCGATCACGAAATTGTGTGTTATTAACTCAGTTAATTTAATCTGTCGCTTCGAATGTGATTTATCGACAAATCCAATTTTAATACCTTCTCATGCTGTACATTAATATGGAAATATAATACAAACTGTGAAAAAAAGAGTATATACATTAAAAGTAATTAATATTTTTAGAAAATGTTAAAAATTGTAGTTAATTTATACAACTTAATTTTTTTTTTTTTTCATGACCTTTAGCTTTCTAAAGCCAAAGATTCGAAATGTAAACGATGGAAGACACAAGCAGGTAGATATCGTGGAAAGCCACTAGTTAGAGATTATAAATTACCGATCACTCGTTTGGAGTCATGTGCTGGCAAAGGCGCGTCATCGTCGGCTCATCTAATATCATGAATGGTATGTAGGAGCAGAGAGCTGAGTGTTTCTTTAGTCGGCGTCACATAAACATGTTGTCCTCGTCCGCATAGACAGAAGGGGAAAGGCTGGGATAATTATACAGCGCTCTCATCTCTCACTAAAGCGTATCCTCTAACTAGCGCTAATAACGCCGCTAATGCTCTTCCGTGGAAACTACTCGTATCTAACAGCTACTCAGCTACCTTTTCTATCAAGAAGATAAAATGGAAATGGCTGTCGTAATTTGTAGCCTCTTTTCACTAAACTCCGATTTAAACTGAACAAAATCATTAACAAATTCACGTCTTTTTACAATCTGTAATTGCTTACCGCTTTCTAGTACCTACTACGTTTTTTTTTTAAATTACCAATTTTGTTCATACTGTACATACCTATATAAAAATTTATGATGTTTTTTAAATTTCTTTAAGCAACAATTTTTTTCTGAAAATTTTTAGTTATATTTGTTACTACCAGTGTAGATGTTTAACGAATACTTTTATGTCTCCCTGTATTGACGAACATTCGCACAGATAGTATAACGTTTCAGAATTCTCAGGTGCTTATTTTCACCGCAAATAGCGGTAATCGTTCACTATTTTTTATTGCAGCTATAAAGCTGTAAACTTGCTATCTGGACGGTTAAGGTCCTTTTAGATTAAGTTTATAAGTTATATTACCTGTTCTGACGAACACTTTTGACGGATAATCGGAACTATTCTCGTAACTATTTAGCACAACGCTGACGTTTATTACTGTGGCTAAGAATAACAAACTTTTCACTATTCATACCTGTGCTCCTTCTTTTTTATTACAAATAACATTTTACTGTGCCACTCTGGCGAGAACATACCTCTGTAAAGGACAAAGGTTTCTTCCTGTTATACCTCTATTCTTTGGTCTGTTTATTGTATTATGCTTTTCCTTAACAGATGTTGGATTTTCATTATAAAATTTAAATAACAAAGACTTTATTCAGAATAAATATACATACGAGTGACTAATTCTCTGAGGACATATTCAGGTGTTCTTCTTGAAACAATATTATTACAAGATATACACTTGCAATTGAAAAATTGTAATCAATATTAGCAATTTCAGATTAGATCAGTTTGGATATTGTTTGATGCTTTTCGAAATGCAAACCTTCGAAGCAATCATAAATCTAACAAATTGTTTGCTCGATGTACTCGTTGTGCGGCTAAATGAGTTGAGCAAAATCACGGTAATAAATCACGCGAAGAGGAATGCAATTATCGTGACTAACACACGGCTTAATAGATAGCTCTGTGAAAATAAAGCGGAGTAAAATTACCAGTGCAGCGCAATAGATTTTATTCTGGAAAAAATAGAAGTAAAGAGTAATACATATAACTGTTCATTCACAAGAATTCGTGCTATATTGCTATGTTGTGTGTTAAAAAATGAAAATTATACGTATTTTAAAGAATTATTTATCTTAACTATTAAAGGAGAATGTTAAAAAATGAATACTTTTAGCTCCGCTTGGAAACAAGAAAAAAATCATACCTACAGGAAACAACATTTTTAAAAAATACCAATATTTTAAATAAGGTTTCGTTAGCATTAAAACATTCACAAGAGGAAGATTAATTGAAAAGGGAAGGAAAGATCGAAGAAGAGAATGTAGCAGAGGTAGGATTGGTTGGAGTAGAAATCGTGGGGGCATCTTGTACAAGTTGACAGGTCGTCGGTCGGGTCGCTTGCACCTGGCAAAAGTGTCGGCACAGCGCGAACCAACAACGACCACCGTGTCGTAAACGCCACTGCCATAGCCACCACCTTGTCACCTTCCTCTTTCTCATTCGTATTGGTTAGTCGTGTCGCTGTTGGCATTTGTCCTCTTCCTAGCCCTCGTCTTCGTCCTAGCGATATCTCTCACCAAGCTAGCAACACTCGATCATTCTAGCAATAGCTACTAAATTCTTCGATGACTTGATTCATCGTAAATAAAATAATTGCTTTCGTTTAAATAAAAATTACTTGAAAAATATTATTTCAAATATTTCAATACAAAAACATCACGTGTGTTATTATGTTCATATTTTCTTTTGTTATAAGAGCAATAATAATCACTATGTCTTATATAGTGAATGACTTTTTGTTGCATGATATTTTGGTGCCATTTTTTGAGTGCCTCCCGTAGGATACCCCGGGTTTCCAGGTTTCCGGTTCTCCCTATACAGATTTTATTTTATAATATTAAAAAAAGCAATTTTTACGTACCAAAGTTATACAAAGTTGTTGTTTGAACTCGGTACTCAGCTCTGGATTACCGACAGAGCAGCGAAGGGGTAAGCTTCCCCGGGGTAGCATGGTGTGGCGGGGTAAGTCAGCTGAACGCTTGTCGATAGAGAAGTGGTGGGAGTAACGGGAAGGCTCGGCCGACAGATGAGTACACGAAGTAGCTTAGTCGTGATTCGAAGCCGGTCGTGTAAGGTGAATGTCGTGGATTTTGTACCGCGTACCATCTACCTCCTTTTTGTTCATTTTCCTTTGTATCCGCGTGTGTACGTACGTGTGTGCTTGTTCACCATCAAAAGGGAATTCTGTGTGTGCGCAAGGAATACGTCGTTAGAAGCTAAATGGCTTCTCATCTGTGCGTCTTCGTTGTTTCCCCGCGACGGATATAAAAGAAAAAGTACGACAGTGTTTGTACCGATCCGTCGAGGTTACGTTTGTTAGTCCACGGTGATCTGTTGTCGCGAGTGATCACAGTGTTATCTGTTACCAAGGAAGTTGGTACAAAAAGGAAGAGGGCGAACATTTTTCTTTACGATGCTGACTTCCAGTGCGAATCAGTACCTCCGTCCGGAATATCTCACGCCTCTGCCTACCACGGTTAGAGCTGTGTTTTTGTTTCTTACTTTACTCTCTTCTTTATTGCCACCTAGTGTGTGAATGTGTTCAAAACATACCAATTTTCAATGTGAATATTTACGTAATGCAGGAAAACGTATGTTAAACAAAATACGTTTACATTTTAATAACCAACATAGTTATACGATTAACCGTCATTTGGAAGTTGTATAGTACTCAACAAATTGAGCGCAATGTTTGTAGCCGATCATAAAAATAATACCATGATTCACAAGAAAACAGTAGAAGAAACAAGAGCTCTTTGACAGAACATTAATCTTGGTTGTCGACTTTTCGTTAATCGCGACGGGAATGCATTTCACGTCTTACGCTTCAACTCCTGTAAACTATTTTGAGGGTAGCGAGTGCTGGCAAAGTTTCTACTTGAACGTTCACTGATTTACGAGCCTCGTAAATCAAACCACGATTCGGTAATATAATACTGCGCGGATAGGCAGATGGAAGAGTTAGGTACACACTAAAAATGAACCAAACCTCGATCCCTATCGCCTCTTACTTTTTCTTATTAACTACTTCTTTGCCCTGAATTACGTTGAATATCATTTACTTTATTACTCCTTATAATACGTAGCTAATATCGCTTCGCTCCGTTTCGTGTAAAGAATTGTTAAGTAAAACTGCTATACAGTGCCGTTTTGAACGCTTTTTTAGCTTTTAATTAAAAAAAAAATAGTTAAATTTTAGAAAGCAAATATTGCAAAATTTTTAAAGAAATAAAACACTTTCATAATATATTTTTCAAAATTAATTGCATGATTTTTCAAAATATTTTTAATATATTTTTCTGTACATTATAAGAAACAATAATTCGAGGTGCTAAAAGCGTTAAATAAACATTGTCGTACATATCCTTTTTGAAATTGCACGACAAAGAGCATGCGTAATGTTCCAATTGCTATCATGGAGATAAAGCAACAAGTAATTGCCACTATTATGCAGAAACCGTTTTGTCAGGAAAATCTGATGTTTTCTATATAAAAGTTCAGCTGAAAAAATTCCAACGCTGTCAAATACAATTTCACGCGGAAATTACGTTAAATATTTGTAATTTTGACTAAAAGACCTCGTTTATGTTTTACAACTAACGACGCGGAACGTTGTTAGTACTGTATCGATGTGAAAAGTTAATTTTCCTCAGGAACCGTGTCGCCATTAACGTAGAGAAACTATGGATTTAACTTTGACAGGGTTAAATCTGACCCTGCCACGAGCGCCGAACTGCATATGTACGTATCGGTTCTGCCCGCGATTGTCAGACTTGCACTTTGACGTTTCGGCATGGCTGCATTTGTCACAGGCATGAATGTTAAGGGATTAAAGTAGCCTTAGTTACCGTGACGATTGCTATCATAGTTTGACAAGTACCCAGTATATCTTTTGTTTCAATGAGGAAAACCCTCAATTAACTTTTGAACGGCAACATGGTGGTCTCCCATGACCGGGCATCAAATTTTATGTAATTGAATTACTAGGAAAAGGGAGAAATAGCAAACCTTTAATATCATTAGCATTGTATTAATGTAAGATAGCAAACTAAAATTTTTAATTTAAGAATTTCAATTAGAATTAAAATTAAATTTAAAATGCTAATTATACAATAGAGTAGCGACGACTTGATTCTATCCAAGGGAAAATAATATTTTCAGACTCCAATTTTTAATTAAAAAATTTTATTAACCAGAACGTAGAAATTTTTACAATATATAGTACAAATAGTTTTCGTTGCAAAATCTCAAATGTATTGTTTTTTATTTTCATGGCAGAAGATGAAACCTGCTAATATTCGTAAGAAACAGCGATATGTGTTTGTATCTGGCAATGAGAAATATCGCATATCGTATGATTTATGCTCGAAAGAAGTGAAACATAATTCACGTGCACTAGATTTTCATCGAATCATGAGTTAATGTTGAAGATGAAAATATTACGCTCGAACTTGTTCCGTTAGCTTGTACGAGAGCAATTAACATCTAGCTTGAACTCATAATACTGTAATAGCCTGTGTTGCAATTCGCAGCATTAATATCTGTCGGCGTCGCGCCATTAGCTGAAGCAACCGTAAACGCCGGGTTAGGTGCACGAATGTTGCATTTTAATTACGGTGAACATCTGTTCGATGGACGTATCAGCCGAGAGAAATATCATTCCTCTATACGCTAATTACACCGACTATATCATCCTGGCTACTTCCAAGCAACAATCATCAATAATATTCAATTCGACTACTAATCATTTTCCTGTGGAAACGGTTTATTAATTGCCCACATTCGTACAAACTTGACTGATAAAGAAGAAATAATACTTCAATTATTAAGGAACCATTTTGAGTGCAGTTGAGTGCTACAAAATTCCATGTTATTAAGATTTGGAACTTCCAAAATGTCCGTATTCCAAATAGAAAAGGCTGTTAAACTTTAAAGGATAACTCGAAACGGCGATTGTAATCCAGCAGTGATTTAACAATTATTATGTCGACATTCTATCACGTTCATTTTCTTCTTGAAATTTTCATATTTTCAATTGCCGTTTTGATTAACTCTACAAGTTTATAAAAAATGGGAGAAGATACGAATATGTTTATTTTGATACCATTACCATATGAAATCTACATTTTAAATAATTCGTTGCAAATACCAACGTTTGTTGAAAAAATAATGTTTGTAATATTATTGCCTTTCGTTTTTAACTTAACTCAATGTTTTGACAAGTGAAAATGAATTATAAGCTCCATTTTAAAGTTCGTTGAACATATTTGTATTCGGTGCTCCTTATCGGCCAACTAACTCTGAATTGCGTACTAAAGTAACCGCAAGCAATGTAAACATCATGCATCGTGACATGTATCAGAATAAATATTATCGCAATGTTACACGCTGGAATAGTGAGAAAATGTTTTAAAAGTGTCTTTAGCTTTGAATCACTATAAATTTTCCTCTTAAAGATTGTTTTTATCTAAAAGGAGCATACTTTCAAAATTTTGCCTAAGTTGAAGTGTGGACATTTTTGGAAGAACAGCCAAGAAGATTACACGAATAAAAAAGTAATTTCGAGTTTAAATAGAAACAGAAACCTTGATTTCTCAAATAAAAGATAATTCTGAAATTAAATTTTCTCGAAAACTAAGTTAAGAACAGTCTGTATAATATATTTACTAAAATAGTATTAAACCTGTTTAGTAATCAATCTTTGTTTTTCGAATTTCAGTTAGATGCGAAGAAAAGCCCGCTCGCGCTACTCGCTCAGACATGTAGCCAAATAGGAGCCGACTCGCCGTCCAATAAATCTCTGCTAGGCTCGTTGGACAAAGCATCGAGCAACAAATCTTCAAAGTCGGATCAGTCACGTGAGAAATCGTCGCCCACGGTAGCTCCATCTTCGTTGGAGTCAACCAAGACCAATTTCAAACCGTACGAATCCTGTCTGGCTCGGGAGAAGGCATCGACGCCTGACGAGCAACGATCAGCTTCTAGCCACTCGGCGTCCGGTCGATCGAGGACACCCGGTAGCGGTAACAAACGATGCCCAAGCAATCAGAGCGTCTCGTCGGTTAGAGCCGTAACGCCGCAGGGTCGAAAAACCGCGACGCCAAACGGCGACGTGGCTCGAGAGTCGCCCGCCTCGAGGACCTCGGCGACAGGGAATCTTTCCTCGAATCAACTTGAGCCGACGTGCTCGTCGTCTCAACCAGCCGTTGTCAGCAGTCCGTCGTTGCAAGCAAAGCCCTCGTACAGTCCTGCCAGTGTCCTAGCCATCACAGACCCGTCCATCAAGGATCTTCCATTGGGTACTTTTAAGCCAGGCGTCAGTTTAGCCTCATCGACCGCCGCTTATCTAACTTACGCTCCACAATTACCTATCGACGCGATGGCCAGCACTCTGGTTTCCCAACACCACGCCAGTTTAAAGAACGGATTAATAGCTGGAAATCCTTATCTAAGCTACGCTAGGTTGAAAAGTTCCTCAGCTCCGGACACCCTGATGCCCGTCTGCAGGGATCCCTACTGTACCGGCTGCCAATTGAACTCTCACCTTTTTGCGAACGGTAAATTAGCGTCTACCACGACTAGCACACCAACTTCCTGTCCTGCTGGCTGTGCCCAGTGCGATCACAAACCTGCGGTCGCTTATGGAGCTTTAGGTGCTGCTGCATATGCACACGCACAGTTGGCTGCACTGGCAGCCGCTTCGCAGCTTCCGTACGTTTGCAACTGGATCGCCGGCGACACAGCCTATTGTGGCAAGAGATTTTCCACGTCCGAAGAGCTGTTGCAGCATTTGAGAAGTCACACGACCAGCTCGACCAGCGCCGCTACGGATCCTTCAGCCGCCGCGTTGTCTCTGCTGTCTCCCTCGGTTGGATTGCCACCGACCCATCCATTGTTTTCCAGGACTTACCCCACGCCACCGTTGAGCCCGCTAGCAACCGCGCGTTATCACCCTTACGGAAAATCTTCTACATTATTACCACCGTCCTTATCGTCACTGGGTCTACCGCTTCCACCGCCGCATTCGCACACACCTGCAGGATTACCACCGTATTTCTCCCCGTATTCGTTGTACGGTGCTCCCCGCCTTGGCGCCGCCTCCGGTCTGCCCCAATGATTTCTTTAAAACATCTATCGACAAATATCAACCGTTTAACTGTGATCCATATGCGAGGATAGAGAGGAGCGTACGCGAAAGAGCTAGGTAACCTCGCTAGCTACTGACCTCGTAATCTCGTTAAATGAACAAATTGGTCGCTTAATTCCTGGCGCGATCGCGCCCGACACCTTAACGCGATTCTGTGCTGTGCTGTGTGGTGCTCCGGTGTTATCATTTTTTTTTCTTGTTTTTTTCAAACATATCAGTTATTTATTTCGCACGTGTCGAATGTTTGGAGAAAGGTGTTGAAGGGATTGCGATCATTTGCGTACCAAACGTTTAACTGTGATTCTTGAGCGAGAGGAACAAATCAGAAAATAACGCGTGCCTGAAAGAACCATGTAATGGCTGCTGCATAGAATTATCAACCATCGACGCGTATTTAAGCGGTTCCTTTATAATCTTTGTACTCTGTTTGCCTCCCTATACGAATTTTCTTACACTCGCTTCTCATTTGTGTTCTCAGTCACCTTTAAATATTTAACGCGCTAAAGAGGGTTTTTCAAAAAATGTGTACACACTTTTGTTTGATTCTTAATTATATTTTCAATTTTAATTGCAGATATTTAATCCGTATGTAGGCAACCGTGTATAAAGTACCCACTTACACTTTGGAATAAAAATTTTTCACAATTTCTGAAACATTTTAAAATATTTTTTTTCTTCCTTGTTTATGGACTTGGATACAAATGTACCCCAGACACCACACAGCCTAGAAAAAAATGGTTGCTTACACAACGATTAAAATACCTCTAGGGCTCAGTTATATGTTCATTTTTCCAATATGCAATGTCGAGACAATAAAAATCGAAAGTAAGTTATTATTTCAATTAATAAATTTAACAAAGAAATAAAAATCCAGTGTGTATACATTTTTCTCAGTCACTCTGTATGTACAGTTTTGAACAAATTTTTGTAGGACGAATGCCGATTGTAAATTATTTTTCAATATTTAACGCCATTTAATTTAAATAAAAGCTAAACGAGTGCCACGGGTCATGTCGAAAAGCCAATGTTCAACTGTGATTTCCGAGTGAGAAAGGTAACGCGTGAGTGAGATACGTTGCGCTTCCGTCACAGAGAATTAGTCGTATGAGTACGTGTATGCGTGATTTTTAGAATTCGACGTCGACCATACATTATTTCTTTCAGAAAAGAAGAAAAGAAAATTAAATCACTGCGATAGCTTCCAAGCAGAGTTGGGCATTATTAGAATAATAATTATAAATGAAACGAAGTTATTCGTGTATGATGAATCAACTTTTAATTTAAAGGAACGAATAGATGTACAGAACTGGAAATTATTCGAATAAATTTGTAATCAGATGATTATTCGGATAACACTTTATTTGTTATTCGTAAATGTGCCCAATCCTAGATTTGATTACATTACTGGTAGGTACAAGTCAAGCTATCTGCCGCAAAGTACGTATAAGAAATACTGTAAATAATTAATACTGTCACTAAGTAAATAATTAATAATGTAATGACGGACAAAATGTTATTCGAATAATAATAGTAAATATAAATTCGAATAATGCCCAACGGACTGCGTTCACTCATTTATATACAGGTTGTCTCAAAATAGCTGTACAACCCTAAAATTTGAATAAATTATTCGCTGTTTTGAATAAAAAATTTGTTATTCTCAAATAATTTTATCTTATTCGAAGTATTATTTGGATAAAAAAAATTATTCGTACGTCCAACTCTACTTCCAAGAAAAATAGAAAGAAGCTATCCTGAATAACTTTCTTAATTATTAGAAAAAAGACTTCGTTGAAATTCCATAAAATTTTTAGACAGTGGATGTTTATAAAAATCTACTTTTTTTAAAAATATTTTATTTCGTCCTCTTACGCGTGACCTTTTGGCGATAATTCCATAAACATCCGCAGTTTATTAATAATCAGAAAGCGCAACAGAAATACTATAATATTGAAATCGTAATCAGTCTATGTGTAGTATTTATGAATCCAATATTCATTGCTAACCCTTACTGTAACTATTGTACATTTGTCCATAGGCGTATAGGTGATAAGTCTGAAGAAAAAGAAAATCTTTCTTTCCTTTTTCGACGAGACGGCAATGCTTAGTGATAAAATAGATGCGTGTATGTATATTGTAAGTTTAATCCCTGACTAGGTGGCGAGTATCGTGTCTATATTTTTGCGTAACCAAAGTTTAAGTAATTAAATGAATAATTTCGTAGGATCACGAGTTCGTGTGTAACGACAATGTTATTATTACCGATGAGATTTAAAATACATTGCGAGAAATGTTTACTTATAAATGGATTTATTTTATTCTATAATACACTGTCGCTAAAAAGTATTTGCCCATGGTTAAGCATACGTCGTTTGTTCATTGTAATAATACGATATCGCAAGATTAAGCCAAAGCATTCACATTTTTTTTGTACCTCTTTCAGTAACATTTACAACGATCATTAAATCAATTATTTCTTGACGTCAACATCAGTGACTTGGTTTCAAATTAAATTTGTGCAAAACAAATTTGAATTTTTCAAGTGGTATTTATGAATTTTTAATTAGAAAACTATTTGTCGAATTGACTTTATTTATTCTATTTTAATCTTAAAGAATTGGTATTAAAAGTCATATTTTTATAAAATTTAAAAATAATCCGGAAATTTACAAAATAAGGATTTGTTTATCGTTTCAAATATAACAAAATCAATTTTTTAAATAAAAATATTACAAAAGGTCCATTCTTCTAAATAAAAATAAAAGAAGGAATTAACTCTATTAGATAAATAGTATCTGAAGTTATTTCGAATCATGTAATTTAATAAATAGTTACATACTGTGCTTTGTATCATATGTCACTTGAGACAAAATCCTTGACATCGTCGTCACAAAGTGATTGATTTAGCGTGAAATGACCCTTGCATATTATGATTGCGTACAATGACTATTACTACCAAAGTATATTGCTAAGTGAATAAAGCAGTTTCCAGTGAAAGAAACCTAATGACAGAGCGTCTGTGCGTGACATAGTGTGTTTTACTTGAATGCTGTTGAGAATCGAGCCTAAGGATCCTTTAATTTGACAAATTATTCATTTTCTTAGTGAACTTTGTATCTGTTTGAAATGAAAAATTAAAAAAGGCAAATACTTTAAAGCGATGCTGTCTGTGCGTCCGCGCTCTCTTGCGCGCGCTTGTGTGTGTGTTATTATTACTGATTGTTAAAGGCATTCTAAATGTCAGAAGAAATTTTTTTTTATGAAAGAATGTAGTTCGGATTATTCCTTGAGTTCTTAACAGTTTAATTTCTAGTTTAGTGGACTAAACTTTTTACTTTTTATTTTGATCAGTTTCCTTTTTAGAAAAGCACACACACACACTCAGTGAGGTACGTGTTAACTTGTTGACTTTACTATTGTTATTCTGCATTACATAACGCTGTTTGGTATTCAGTAAGATGAAATATACCAGAACTTATTTCTTATCAGAACACGTGTTTTTGTATTTTATTTCAGTACCTGAATGCCTTGGTAATAATGTTATTCTTGTTTTAAAGTTAAACAATGCTTATTATTATAATATCTTGTATTTGCTTTTTAGTGGCACTGTTGAAGGCAGCAAGAAGAACATTTTACACTAGAACCTACCGTCTACAGGCGAGTCGAGTGGTTTTGTCAAGTGTTTCCTTCCGGCGATGCAAATACATTACATTACATTTGCAGGATCAAAAAAGCATGAGTGTCAGAAAAAAAGACCAGTCCTCACGTAAGAGTGCTTCAAACGAATTTACTTGGCGCCAGGAAACTCGATGACTCTCATCTAATGAATGGTAAACCAGTTTCATGAAACTCTTTTATCATTCACTAGTATGTATTACGATTTGAATGTCGTGTCTTAGAGGAGAATATGAGTATGGACTATTTTTTTCCAATTGCAAGTAAAATAAGTTACTAAACTTTGAAAACGCATCAGAATTGTAATAATCATGATACGTGTGTAAAGGAGGGCTTTTAAACGGTAGTTTATATTATGTGTGCAGTAGCTATAATGAGTAATTGCTGTTGCTTCGCGAAAACTTGCCTTGTCGACTGCCAATCAACTTGTTTCTTGACTCGGTGTGACAAGAAAGCCAGCGTTGCTGAAAAAGAAGATTAATCGGTGCCCTACAAAGGATCGTCGTTCAATAATGGGTTGTTTGCGCAGTCGATGTTATTGCAACAGTCATTCATAGAATGTTAAGCGATCACGCAACGCCGTCTTACTAAGCTGACATGATTAATTGGTTCTGTCGATGAACAAACCGTGTCGTGTAATTTCCATCCATAATAGAGGCGTTTCTAGTTTTCTTGGGAGATTATTAATAATGGTTATTAAGAAAGGAAAAGCTAAAATACAGGGAAAGCGAAGAAGAAAGTTGTGAAGATAGAAATAAATAAAATTTCATTTAGAATAAATATTAAAAGTGATTTAAAACAAAAGATAAACTTGTAGAACAAGCGTTTCCTTTCTGATTTCAATGATTTTTTAATATGTTTTAAAATTCGACTTTTTAAGTAATTTTTTCGTAATTTCAAATCGTAATTTCAGCGTTTCTGAATCTGTGTTTAGAAATTTAAAAGATTCTGTAAAAGCAAGACAATAATGAATATAATACTTTAAATATTATTTTATCATCTTTATTACCACAAAAATTTTTGAACATTTAAACATTGAATAGTTAGCTATTGTTGTTGAATAATAGTGGTAAAGGGCGCCTGAAGGAAATAGTGTCATCTAATATTCGTCGCAACGATCGCTCTTAGCGATGATCGCCTCTTTATTCGTAGCCGGAATCGAATTTAGCAACAACATTTGCCACTAGAATTGGTGCAGCATCTGTCTCTAGAAATGCAGCAACACTGTTGGCGAGGTGTACCACAGCATTTTTGGTTAGATGTGCAGCAAGATTTGCCTTTAAAAGAAAGTTGAACTAATCAATGATCAACAATTTGTATATATTATGTGGAATAAGGTACGGTAGATACAGAAGAACTCATTAATGTGTCCAAAAGAATATCAACCATTGAAATTAATTTTTATAAATAAAATTATTACCATTGCATGGCCCAGAACCACAACACTTGCACTGATCGCCACACTTCGAGTCGCATTTGTCTGCAATAACAAAAGTTTTCAAACGTTAGATTATGATTTATATTTTTAAAAAAATTATTTAATTTATATTTGCATAGACATGAACTAGTAATTAAATTTGTAAATAAATGATTGTTTGGTAATTGCACAATTGCATTCAAGAATAGATTAAAAATAAGAATTTTTATTAATAGTGTTAATTCTTACCAACACAGCATCTGTCAGCACATCCTGATCTCGGCATCTTTCTTTGTAGTTGATTATTTCTTACGCAGACTTGAAAATAGTAGAACTTGTTAACTCCGTTACGCTCGATCGAATTGATTGATTATCCTCTGCTAGAAGTATCTTTTATACACAAACACTGAACGACGTGTGCAACGCAAATTTTGTGTACCTTGCGCAAAGCAAAAGTGTATTTACTTTATCAGCACCGTATTCAAAGTCTTACGTCGCAATATATTATCTTACATCTACTTATTATCATTATTGTTCTTTTATGATTAGGAATCATTTAATGAAATCAAACAATAAATATATCATACATGTCTTTTCATACATTCTTAACTCTTTTTATCCTCAATTTAAGTTGCTATAATATTAAGCTGCTATAATAGATGTCTTTAGTTAACAAAGGAACAATTAATTAGCCTTTTAATTCCGTATTTATGAGCGCTTTGAAAACAGTCCCGCTAATACCATCTAATGGTAAACGGAGAAAATGACACAACAGAAAATTGCTTTTCTTTGTAAAATACAAAACTGTTATATATTATCTGCTACAATAGAATTATAAAAGGGGTCCTTATGCCTCCTATAGATTCGATTAATTATTCAGTGCATTTTTGTTCCACGTTCAGGGGGCAGCATTAAAGGCTCTTTACCATTTTCGTGTCACGTTCTACTATACCAACTATAGTGAGTGGTAAGAATCAAAATTGAAAACTAAACTATCGGTGTACAAATTGATTGTCTTTATGAAGACTGTACCAGCCTTATACAATTTTATCTCTAAACCTAAATAAAGCAAACTGAATTAACATGTACCTTGAACTTAAAAATGTTATGTCATTTATCATTTTAAGATCTGGTCAATAGCCTTTAAATATTAAAATTTTACTCGGTTTAACAAATTTGATAAATTTCAAAAGATCAGAAATGGCTCGTCGACGGTGAATTTGATTGTAGCAGCTCGAATAATTTATTGCAACAGCGTTATAATTCTATAATCTGAGCATATTGAAGGTCATTAGCGTAATGCTTGTCGTCGAGTCAGATGATCAGGCTGCCCTGAAATCAGTGATCATTTCCGACAACCCTCGGTATGCATCGACGTTGCATGATTGCACGTTTATATGATTCCTGTTATTTTCAATCATTATTTTCGTCGGATCCTCGTTCACTCTTCGCCGTTCCTCCATCAGCAGGTAATCGTTATAACGAACAGGGAAATGATAGGTTTCCCCTGTCCGGCTTGATATTTTGTTTGAAAAATCGACAGACAATGCGATGAATTATAATGGCAGAATAATTCATTGAATTTATCTTACTTTCATCAATATTTTCCATCATTTTTGTTATAAATTGAATAATACAATTGGTACCTTATAGTAACTGTTACAAATTAAATTGAATTTTAAATGAATTAATAATAATCAAAGGCTTAATAATTGATTTTCAGTCAACACCCGATGGTATCGAAAAGTCAATCAATAGGATTTCAGTAAGTAAAGTGCTGTAATACAAAGGATTCTTTTAAAAAATATAGAAGGTAGCATAGGTGAAATGTTTCGAAGCAGTTTCCAAGTAAAACTTAAGTTTATGATAAACCCTACTTTAAATAAAGTGTTATACATATGGTAATTGTATAGGAAAGATATACTGATAGAAGCATAGCCAACATATTCTATCAGTTTGATAGCTCTCGCTGGGACACTCGACGGGGGATGAAAGTTAAGACGGTTACCTTGATATCTAATATTGGTTGTGCACCTTCATGTCGTCGGTATCGGTTTATGTTGCCATGACAATCTTCACCAACACTAATCTTTAACTTTTCACACAACTGACTGGTAAATATGTACAAACGTGAAAAGCTGCCATTGAAGGGAAGTCTCATGAGAGTAAGTAACTGCTTGTTGCATCCGAAGTTTATAGCATTACAGTTATATACGTATTTCATAATGTGCAGAAAAATTGAGAGCATTGTATTTATGTAAAATGAAGCTATTTGCAAAATTTCAACTAAATCGGAATTTACAGGTTTTTGAAAATTTCGCCGCGAACTGTGTGGACTTACCGAAATGCGAAGACCTTTGAAGGATTTTCATCCGCCAACCGGAACAATTATAGTCATTTAAATAGCGAAGAAAAGGCTGTTATTGACCATAGATGTGTAATTAAATTAATTTTTACGACTTCTCTGCCGTTAAGATAGGCATCGGTCTGGAATAATATACCGCTGGTCTCCCCTGTCTTTCCTTTCTTTTTTTCTTTTCTTTTCCTGCGGTGGCAAAGGTGCTTTCAACCACACCCGCCGCTTGCACTTCTCATTTCCAATTTAAAAATAATGAGAATTTGCTGCGAATAGGTGCCGCTGTCGCGCACAGATACTCATCGAGTTTGAGCGCGTCGCTCGCGGCAAGTGGAATGAATTGAAAAAAATTCAATTTAGCGTCAGTATACCGCATCCTTTCCCTTCGTTTTCTTTCCCTTCTATATTTTCACTTCCTTGGCTTGAACAAGCAAAAAGTACCTCAAGATTTTCTTTACTATTCATGCTTTGTTCTTTTATTTCTTAAATAACTGAGTACCTAAAAAGGTATTCTATGCTAAACATTACTCAAAACAATAACATACAAGATCATTTTTTACTCGCCCATGATTAAACGGTTGAAACTAGCGATTAAAGAGCAACATTTGACGTTTAGGTGTTTCGTGAAATAAGAAGAATCTCCTGACAATGAGTGGAAAGCCGAACAGCGATCGAAGCGAGTAAGGAACGAATAAAGGAAGAGAGGTCAGAGGGTGAGGTGGTAGTTTTTCTTTGATACGGGCAATAAAATGTAAATGCACGCCAATTCGCGGCCAATATCGGGAGTTACCTTCTCCAAATACTTTTCCGTTTGTAACAGTGAGCAAGAAGCAAATGCTATGTGTGGAGAGGAAAGAGAGATGGAAGAAGTTGCTGTGTACCTGTGTAGCGGGGCCGCAGGCTTCGCCATCATTTGCATAAGTAACGCTGGAACGAGGGGAGGTTAGGGTAGCGAGACGAGTAATTTATAGTCAATAATTCTTGGCGAAGCAATTTTCGCATCGAGCGCGAACGTTTCCTCCGGAACGAAGAAGGAGAAATAGGGAGGGGTGGGTAGAGGTGATGCTGTTGTAGAAGAGGGAGGCAGGAAATGAAGCGGAACGTTAAATAGCTGTCATAGCTTCCCTCTAAATTCTACTTTGTCCTATCAGATAGCCACTAATATATTAACGCAAACGAATTTTTATTACTTTTCAGCACATTCTACTAATGTGATGAATTATACGTTGTAATTATAACTATTAGGTTGTTAAATATTTGAAACATCTAATCTCACGTAATTTGATGATATGAAAGTATCACAAAATGCTACTTCAGCGGGAATTCATTAGTGGAGAAAAGCACCACCCATACTATGTACTTATGGGTGTAAACAATATTTACAACTTTTTTGTAAGTAGCTTCTATCGGTTCTATACTGCGTTTACTTCATGTAAGGGAGGTATGAATTTAAAAGGAGTACTGGATGTTGTAAGGAACATTGAACGTTCCTATCAACTACTTAGACGCCCTTTATTATCATTATTGAACAAACTAATTTGAGTGTGAAAAAGAAGAAGTTTTAAGATTTTGCTACTGAAATTTAATTCATTCTACTTATTTTTACATTGTACAATTGGTTTACAAATTAAAACGTTAATTACAATTTATTTGAAAAATTAAGTCGCCCGTAAAAAGTAGTCCAAAATTGGACCAGTGTGCCCTCTATACAAAAACGGTGGAAACTACCTGTTATCACTTACACGTATGTAAGTATTGGTGTGCAAGAACACGTTGTTATCGACAATAGATAAGACACCGGCTGCTATTTTGGACAATGTAAGTACCATAAACGTTATACCACCGACGAGTAACAGTAATCTCTTGTCGGTAACAAGTAAGTAGACAGTATATATACTGTTATATAAACAGGTAAGGTAGGGAATGACATTAAAATGGTAAAAAATTGGGAGCTTCGCTAACAGCAAGAATTCTTTGTACCTACATTATCCGGTAATTGCCGTATCTTGGATTCTTCCAAAATAGAATAAACGACAGCCTTTCATTTTACATCAACCTACTTACAAACATCCCGAAATAAAAAGTTATCATTTTCAAAATAACTACGGTAGATTGAGAGTTTTTGAAACATTCAAAGGCTCCGAGTCTTCCACTATTCAAAATCCTCCGTTTTCTAAGTTTCTCTGGTTTTTACAAAATAGTACAAAAAGCAGTCTTTCATTTAGCATCAATCTACTCGTCCTAAGATCTCAAAATAAAAAGTGATTATTCTCGAAACAGAAACTTTCTATGTTCAAAACTTGATTAGAATGTGATAGTAAATTAGAAGCTATTTGAAACTGCGCTACTTCTAGGAAAATGTATTTGACTGCAAGCTATTTCCACAAACAATTATTTTTGAAACAATTTTATTCTCCTTATAATTACAAATTTGACCTTCAACGACGCTAATACTTCTTTAAACGAACAACAGACTTCTTTTATTCCTATCTCGAACGATTTATGAACATGATCGGATTTTATCAGTGGTTTTTGCCTTACTGATAAAAACAATGCAACTCATCAACAGAATAATAAACGCATTTATTAGATCGTAGATATTTAATATTGTACATTAGAAAATAAACGTTTGACGTGTGTATAAGTTTAAATTTGTGCACTAGTATATATACTATGATAGAATATAAAGTCATAGTTAGATATATACAATATAATAATAAGAGTATCTTGCATGTAGCCGTAAAAACAACACAAGCAACACAGCGTGCTGTCATTAGTTTATTCCTTCAGTTGTCCTCTACTTAGAAGTGTTATAAACAGATTGTTGATTAAAGACTCATTAGTAATTCATGGTATCATATTCGTGGTATCATATTGCAAGATCTTTACAGCTCTATTTACAGAGATTAATATAATACCAAGAACTGGTATGAATTTCCTATTGTTTGGGCAACAATAAAATCAAGGTTGCTCAATTAATTAAACAATTTCCTATAAATATCTTCTTTTTATATACCTACTAAAAAAGTATCCTATACATAGTTCAAAGAAATTT